AGAGAAGAGGTGCTTATGCAAAGATCTTTAGAAAAACTGTAATACATGACCTAATCACAAGTTACAGGTGTGATTTTAACCAGTCAAGATTTGTCCACATTTGCAGACCCTGCGGAGTCCCCACAATAAGTTTTCCTATAGTTTGTCACACTGCCACTAGAAAAAAAAAAACCCATCCACACAGCAGTCAAAAAGCTCTTTAACAAGCGCCAAAGTACTTGGACAAACTAACACTGACAAAAACCCTTTCTCCATCCCTGAGATGCTTTAAGTGGTCGTTACTGTAACTAAGTTCATCTCTGCAGCTGCCTCCAGTTTTCCATTGTGTGGATGAAAACATAGTCATTTAGAGGAAGCTTTAGGGATGCATTCACAGTGCGTTATGTGTCATTATCCATCGGCGCTGTGAGGCGCAATCCTTTTATGTTTGTACCGTTTGAGTGAAGAAACAAAAAGCCTGTGTTTTTCTCAATTTGTCAACCGAAATTGAGGCAAACATTTTAGATTTAAAAAAAATAAAATAAAAATATGTGTCTCTCCATTTGCTGCCTTAATAGAAATAGTTTTTGACGTACCTGAAGTCGTCTCTTTTGTGATTGGTGGTACAAGTAAAGCCATATGTTCTTTATTTCAAATCTACTGCACTGAAGGGAATATTCTTTAAGACAATAATAATTGCTAGGAACTGTATTAAAGAAAGGTATGTGCCTAAATCATTACAGACCAGGTAGACAGGACCACAAGAACAAAAAAAATCCAATTAGAATAAAAGAAAAGGTGCTTAAATAGAAACCCAGAAGGCTGAGGTAAATCCGTTTTTCTGTGTTATGAGCGTTTCAGGAGAAAACTATTTTAATAGCTGTCTACATGCATGCAGGCTGAATTGCTTAGTATACATAATTAGATTGGGGCATTGGAATTATCCTTAGTTTACAAGCTCTGAAATTAAGAAATCAAGTGATCCAGAAAAAATGTAATTAAAGCAATCATTGTGTTTATATGAAACTGTATTTGTAGAAAAAGTGAATCACAAAAGCTGAAATCCCTCTTTTATGTTAAGCTAGAAAACAACTGCAATGACAGGGCAGCTCAAATGCACGTAGACAATCAATAGTTCAATTTTTAAGTATATTCTAAATATTCTAAGACAAATTGATGCTATTCCCATTAAATTTATAAATTATCTGTTAATAGGAATACATGACATTCTGCTACAAAAGTAGTACTACTACAAAAAGGCACTGGACGGCTTGGCATAACTGATGGAACTATAAACTCAAGAGGAATGTCAAACTGTCAGTTCGTCACATTACGCTCAACTGTCTCTGGGTTATGCAGCAAGATGATAATCAGAAGCACACCAATAAGTACACCTCTGAATTAACAGCTTGGAAAGGCCTAATCAAAGTCTGAGCTTACATCTAACTGCAAAGAAGATTGAGCCAAAGTGATGCAAAAGACTCATAGCAAAGCCCAGAGATGAATGTTGTTACCAAGGGTGGCACAACCACCATATTAAGGGGGCAATTATGATTTTATTTATTTTTTTTTACTGTTTTTAAGCACCAGGAGTCCTTTTTTACTTATTTGAGAACAGCTTTTTGTATTCATTTGGTTTACTTGTCTGGTCAGAAACATTTAAGTTTGGCTACAAATTGAAATAGCAGAAATCTATAAAAAGGCGAACACCATTTCCTGCCAGTCTATCATAGCAGGTCAAGATGTCCCCGAAGGTCAAAAAGAGGAAAAGGCACAGCAGACTAAAGGCATAAAGATGAAGCACAGCTGTTGCACAGTGGTCCAAGAAGCATTAAAAGCACCTGTTGACCTGACCCAGAGAATGCACACTGCTTTCCTTGGGTAAATTAACTGAGCCTGGCAGGCAGAAAGAAAGAAGGTAAGCGGAGCAAAAGTAAACGAGTCGCTACAGTCGATACTCTCTCGCCAGTGAGTCTGACCTTTAGTGTATGGATACAGCGTGCATCATCAGTTGTTGCATAATGTCTTGGAGGCTTGAGAAAAAACTAAAAATTCTCAAGGCTGCAGAGGTAAACAAACATTAGTCACCGAGTCTATGTTGTGTGCTCTTCCAAGCAGCATAAGCCCTTATACAACAGACAACATGTTTCCCTCGGTGAGTGGGTGCAAGAGCAGGAGAGAGAGAGAAAAGACGCAGTTTCTTCTTGAATCTAAACCGAGGAGGATGAAAGTGTTACAAAGGCCAGAAGTGGATGCTGATTTTTTCTCATCTTTTCTTGTTATTTATTTAGTGCCGGCAATTTTCAAACAAAGGCAGGAAAAGGATCAGATTTAAAACACATCTGGCAATTAATGCTCCATCATCACCTTTCTAGAGATATAACACAGTAACACACACACACGCGCACACGCACACACTTTGATGTTCAGATAAAACAGGCTACCGCAGATGATTTGCAAATCTGCAGCACAAACACTGTGACTCATACACGTTATGTATACGGCACGTTTGCACCACAGCTACAACTTTTACACAACTGCAACTCAAATATCTTTCCAATCACCCCATCGTATTACTTTATGCCATGCATCATGCTTTCACTGCCGCTTTTTCTTACATTTTTATCTGTATTGGAACAAAAACCGTTTCACTGTATTGTGCTTTTAACCTCAATAATTCCTTTTAGATAAAACATTTGACTCTCGAATACAAATCAGTTTTAGTTTTTTCTACCAATCTGAACTTGTGGGAGGGGCTGCAAACTAAATTTAATTTTATTTTTCCCTTTTTTCTTAATATTAATCAACTATATTCACCTGAAGCTTAATTTCCTTTAAGACACAATAAATCAAATCAGGGCCACTCACTGAAGAGTTCAGGCTATAAGTATTTAGTCATTACAATACATGACAATGTTTCATGCTTTAAAGAATTAAATCACATTTTTTGTATACAGGCACCTTGAAAAACCCATCTAAATGCTTGAATGGAAGCTTTTGGTAAAAATCATCACTTGTTACAGCCTGAAACTCTAATACTCATTTCTGTTATCCAAGAGGGAACATTGGTTTCCGCCATGTAAACTAATCCTCTTAGGAAATTGCCAATACTATTAAATTCAAAGGGTAAAAGAAGGCCTGGTATTCCAGCACAGAATTTATTTCTAATTCAGAAAGGAGAACACATGAGTCTCTGACAAATACAGTCTTCAGTCAATTTAACGCTCCTCCTTTACAAAAAAAGACATCTATTAACAATGTTTCTGTATATAATAAAGGAGGTGGAAAAAAAACAGTATACATACTATGTTTGGGGCAGCAGTAAATTTCTAAGACAAAATGAAATATCTGGGTTTATTTGAGTCAGCAATGACAAGACCCAGAGGGAGAATGTACCATTATTTTAGTCTTTCATGTTAGTTTATTGACACCTTTGGCTATTTGTCTTTAAGACAAAATGTAATATATGAGTTTATTTGAGTCCATCAAAACTATAACCTCATGGTTTATAAATTCTGTGCGCATTTCCACAGATTTTTGGATCTCATAACCATTAACACACTAATAAATTTACCAATAAAATTCTTACATCTAGTGCATGTTACACAACACCTTAAAAAAAAGGAACAGAACAGCTCATATACAGTTGCTGCTAAATGTAGTTATTTCCACTTTCCTGTCAATTCAATCCACACGAGAGGGAAAATCCAAAATACACTATCATATTGTCTTGGTGTGCAAATCCGACTACAACAAAAGGGTTCCTTGTAAAATAAGTGGAGGAAGTGAAACCGAAAAATACCCCCAATTTGGTGGGGAAATGACAGCCTAAATGTGCAAGTGAATTAGATGAAAAACAGAAGCTCAGAAACAGACAAAAGTTGTCATACAACTGAAATATCCCTAGTAGGAATTTGTGGTCAATACGCCATGAAGTGGAGGTTTGTGCTGGGATGAATTAATGAGCCTGATTCCAGTTATCCTTAGCCAATGCCCCCTACAACAGAGATAGGACTGTACAGAGAGCAGATGGCCACTAAGGGACACAATGGGGCGCTCAGAAGCTACACAGCGTACCAGTGACTTCATTTCCAGAATATCTTCATCAAAATGAACCCAAAAACTTCCAGTGTCGATCCTTCACAAGGATTCTTAGAAATGTGGGTAGCGCAGGGTTAGACCTGAGGTAACAATTTCAACAATGAACAACTCTAAGAAACTAGAGCTGGGAGACATGAAAAAAAAAATAAAAAAACATACAAAAGAGGATAAATATCACCCCCTCACTACAGTTTGATTGTCTGAGGTCACAGCAAGACATACCAAGATTTCCAACTGATCTTTGTTCGAGCCAAACACAAAATTAATTGTGCTCTGAACTCCTGTAGACCTGAGAGAAGGCGCGAGAGCACAGACCTTTGAGGAAGGCTTAACAGCCACTGAGGCGATAAAAGCTTTGCTGCTTTCAGCTGACTGTTTTTTAACCTCAGCGGATCGTTTATTTATTTCCAGACGACAAGAAAAACACTAGTGAGTATAACAGGGAATATTTCTCGTAAAGTCAACAAAAATGCTAAGAAGCACAAGAAATGTGTGTTCGAGCTCACACACAGAAGACGGATCTAGGCAATGTATTGTAATCCTGGCTTCCAATCACTTGAGATTGCACCGGATGAGTCCCACCGGGAAATAGCCAAGGCATCCAACACTCAAGTGAGTGCTCTCTTCCTCCTAGAGCTCGTCCTTTCCATAGCATAGAGGTGAAAAAAAGAGTGTTTCATCATCTGCATCTCCTTCTCTTGAGACCAATTTGCCCTTGAAGAGCTATTTCCCTGGGAAATAAATTCTCTAGGAAAAATCTGGGATGCAACTGACAGATTACATACGAGTGTACAACGTGCACAATAATTAGGTTGCCTGGATTTGTGCATTTTGGCATGACCAAAAGAAAGGATGAATCTTAACTGGGTCACATGTGGCCCAGTTAAATGGAGGGGAAGGATTTGGAAAGCCGTGTTTACCTTGCGCGACGCATGGATGTCGAAGAAGGGCTTGTTCCGGACGCTGAAAGGCTCCTTGGCTTTGTCGATCTGTCCGAGCTTCATTTTTTCCTGACGTGGAGAAATTATTTCCTTTTCTATGCACAGGAGTCGAATATTGAAATCACACTGGCCAACGGGTTGTCCCTGAAAAACACACAACAAAAACACATTTCGATTTTAAAGTAGCACACTAATTTAAATGGTCTATTTCCTTTGTTTTCTTTCTTTCTCTTTACACTGAGATGAAAACTTACGATCTTGTTCAGAAGTCTTAGTGTGAACATGATGAGTAGCTAATGCTGAAAACTGAACAGTACATCGAATATCAGTCTGCAGTAAATATTCGTTTGTAATAAACTGTGGTTTAGGATATCTTTAACGTGATAACTGGTATTTGGATGGACTCCACCTGGCTTAATGCATCTTTAGCAGATAGGTTATTAAAACTCATACAACAGTGGGGACAGTGTTTATTGCAAATGACTAAAAGCGGCAGGAAAATTGGGCAAATCGTAATCAATACTGCAGTTTTCAGCATTAAATCAAATGCTGCATCAACTATCTTCCTCATACTCTGTAGCTTTGATGAGCAGTGTCCAGAAGTATGCAGTAAGACTCCTTTAATTTATCACATTCCACTACAACACTACAAACAGCTTCTTTGTGACGACGATGAGACCTTCCACACATCACAGCAAAGACCCGCTGCTGTCCCGCACAAATAATCCTACTGTCCTCTCAAACAGACGTGGCCACCGAGGCAGAACAAAGGTGAAATGAAACCCATCTGGTGGAGCCACACATTGTTGCCACACAGAGCAGCAGAAAGCCTGAATTTCTGTCGCTGGTTATAAATAACAAGGTTTGAGCGGAAAATTAGAACATATAACGACAAACATGGCAACATATTTATTTCAGTGTTAACTGGTGCAGAAAAGATGCAATGAATCCAGCCTGTCTGCTGCAAAGCGTCGACAGACTGTTGCTGCCATTTATCTATTTCTGAATTAGCATAGTGACGCAATAAAACTGACTCAGATTCCAACAAGAAAAACAAAACAAAAAAAGGATGTCAACCTGTTGAAAACAAACGTCATCCATGACAACTTTGACTTTTAATAATTCTCACAAGTTATAAGGAAGATTCAAACTCCAAATAAAATGGATTTTATTTCTTGAATTCTTCTGATTTGTGCTGATTAAATATTGAAGACATTCCCACCAAACCAAGAATTTTTTTAAGTCAAATAATGGAGTAAAATGTGTTTTTTTGTGATCTGCAATGTGATTTATTGGTGGGTATTTTGTATAATATTGTCCAAAATTACTAATGGAAAGCAATTATGTATCATTCATTAATGTTGTCACAGGAAATAACAAATATAGCCCTATGGAAAATTCATTATCTTCAAAATGAAAAGGGGGTTTAAACGTCTTACAACCAAAATTATAAAATGATGTGGAACAATTGCACTTTTACGGCTATTAAACCAATGTATTGCTAATCAATACTCTCTGATGTGTATTGACGGGTTCTGTGTTGGAAAGTGTGAATTGCAGGCATTAGTATTCTGCTCCAGCTCTGTAGTAAAAGGTCATTTCTTTTCTCAAGAGGATTATATTGACTTTAGATGGGAAGAAAAAACCCAGTTTTCCTCCAGTTGGATGTGGAAAGAAATAGCTGATAATTAGCTGGAATTAGATGTTATTACAAGCCTGCAGAGCCTTGTGCTTTACAGACATTAAGCAGGAAAAAACCCAAATAATCTCATAGAATATCAATTTAAATAAATTGATCCCAGTAGGCAGGTAGTCTGCATTTTAATAAGCATGTATATTTACTTTTTCAAATGTACAGCTCACACATATATACCAAGAAAACAAGAAGAAAAAAATGCTGTTGTAAAAATGTCTCTGCTTTTTTGAGAAAATAAAATTTAGATGCAAAAATTGCCTGCATCGACCGATAAAAGAAAGTTTCTGAGAAACATAATAAATGGTAATAATCTCTACGTAATAATCAGATTTTTTTGTTACTTTTACAAGTCTAAATCTTAAGTAAATCCTTTGAGATACACTTTTGCCCATTTATTGTCCTATGAGAAATTCACAAATGTTGCAAAATATGCATTTAAATTGTCCATCTTTGGTCCAAATGAGCTATTGTGGCATCGCTGTAACTAGCTAACATCTGTGTTTGCAAAGGTAGGAGTGTAATTCGCATTTTGAAAAGTAACACACTGATATAGAGTCCGGATTATTGCCTAGAAATTTAGGCAATGATTTGACAATACAACCAGGCACTAAGAATAGAAACGTGAGGAATCTGGAAATAAACATGCAACAATTTATAATCCAAAATTTCTACTTTATATTATTGCATCTGCTAGATGATAGACAAATGTTGAAATCGATCATAACATTTTGATATATCAAGAACCATGTCTTCATGACCTTTAATTTTAGACTGTTTTGACAATGTTGCTTATCAATGTACAAGTCATTTTAGAAAGTTTTCATAGAGAAATCTTTTTAATATAGAAATCATAACTTGCTTGCTTTTCCACACAAGGTGACAGCAGTAACACTACTTTCTCCTGGAGCAACAGCTGGTATCATGTCCCACACATTTAGCACCATCTGTCAGCTGTGTCACCAGGAAAGGACAAGATGTAAGTGTGGATGATTCAAGGCTTGTGTTGTCCATGCCAGCTCAAGAGGAAAACACGGCAAAGGAAATCTTGTTAGGGAAACGTCACTGGGGACAGAAGCTCGGTTTCAGTATTAAATCACAGCGACATCTTAATTTATCCGTTTCTGTTGTGATTCTAAGGACCGAATGTGTCTGTTTGGGAGAATATAAATACATCAGGTTTCACAATCATCACTGATTTGAGATGCACTGAGGAAGCGTTTGAGAAGAATATTATTTACCATTTCTGGAAGTATAGCAGTGATTGACATAGTGAATACAAATCTACTCAGACATTCTTTCATCGGCTCTGATATTGACCGATTGGAAACTCGGCACTGACATACATACATGCTGTTTGAATTAGACTTTCTTTGTACGAGTCATTCCCTTGAATGTATAGACAATCATTGACAGATGTGCCAAAACAATAAAGATGAGGATAAGGTCTCGCCCAGAAACTTTCCCAATATTGTGATATAATAAATCAAAACCTAATTTAATTGATTTATATAACAAATGTTTCCATCTAAAACAATAAATCAAGTCATATTGAATGGTGTTTTCACACATTAATAGTCTGATAGTCTGGTAGACTAACTTACATTATTTGTTACACTTTCAGCTGGTGCGATTCACTTTCATTGTGTGTTACTGTCTTTTTCAGAGATGTTCATTTCTTTTTCAATTAAAAACAAACTTATGTGATTATTGAAAATAATTTTTACGCCAAAATCCAGAGGTGTGAATAATTTTGTTATCAGCTGTAAAGATGAGACGTTTCAAGATTTGGAGAGGTTTTTAACTGGTGACTCACTGCAAAAAGGCTATTCATATTTTGCAATGAGTCACCAGTGAAATTAACAGTAAAAACTTGTAAAAAGCATGTCAGCAAACATGAAGATTGGACTGGTATTGACATGACATGAAGTGGACAGAAAAGTCCTGTTATAGTCAAATCCCAGTTTACATATTTGAAACACCATTTTGGAGAGAACTTGTCAAAGATAAAAAGGGGGAAAAAAAAAAAAACTAGACATAAAGAAACTCATAAGAGAAAAAAAATAAAAAGAACGACAATAAGTAGCAGAACCAAAAATAAAAGCTGCTTCAGTGCGAGTTTGGGGAGGATAAAGGATTAACTGGAAAGCAGCAGGGAATGAAAATAAGTGACAGTGCTGGGAGTTCTGCTTTCCATATTTTTAGATAAACAGCAGCCCACACTGATGACCAGAATCAACATTGGGACCAATCAACAATATGCTGCCTCACATTAGATGTTCTTTACAAAAATATGTAGACTTTTTGACCATTCCAGGCAAAAAAAAAAAAAAAAAAGCAATTACAGACTCACAGCACCTCCCAACCTGCTTTCCATCTAAAAGCAATATTTTGTGGTATTAAGACAGACTTTCAAAAATGTATTTACACAATTATTCTTCCATGGGAGAGTTTTAATGCAGATAACGGGCTTTTCTTTTTCTAGGATGATGGTTAAAATAAGCTGTGTAGAAAAAAAAAGGCAGCAGTTTAAGAATTCTACTTTATCTTCCCTCTAAGTCTAAAGCGCATAAATCAATAAGTGAGCACCTTCCTCCAAGGCAATAAATAAGAAGAAGCAGACGATTAATGTAAGCTTTTTTTATTTTTTATGCTGGGAAAATTAAAGTGTGAACCAGACTTTGAAAACATCACCTGCCTGCAGTTTTATTCTTCCACCTTCCACCTGTGTCTGTGGGGAACAGTTGGTATCTATCTCTCTGGCACGGGATGACAGATTCGTGTTAAAAAAAAATAATAATAATTTAACTAGCAGGTCATAGTTAGAGATTTATGAGTGATCTATCTAGTTACACAACCAGAGATCCTGAGGTGTGATTCTGCTTTTCTATGAGTCACTGCAGCATTGGGTAGGGCTGCCTACGTCTTAAGAGACTTTTTCTCCTTTTTGAAACAAACTCACAAATAGCTCATCCTTGCCTCATCAGTATGTCTACAGACAGCTACCAGTTTCAGACGGTATAGAAATCTCTAACCGGTTCTGATTTATCACAAACCCTTGTTTACTTCAAACACCTCGTTACATTCTTAGTAAATGCAGCACATAAATAAAGGACTGCGGCACTAATGTCATAACATCAGGAAGTTTACTTACATAAAAAGAAGAATGATTACCAAATCATCACCGAAGTGTGATCGTTGCCCTAAAAATAACATAATTCCTTTCATAAATCTCCAAAACTACACCCTGCCGCTAAACATCCAAATGAAATTCAAACACTGGTGTCATAATAACCAGCTACATGCAGACAAAAAAACCTGGCCGCTAACGCTGCGGCCATTTTGCCTCGTCATGAGGAAGAAAATAGATTTTTCCACCAGAGGAGGCAATAACCTGGATATTGCTGGTAGTTACAGAAGACTCACTTATCCATTTTCTAGACCTGTTTAACCATCTACATCTCTGGTTTCTTCAAAGCTAAAATCTTATTTACCATTTCAAGAATCAAACGGTTTTAGTTTCTATGATTTGAGGGCTTGTCTCGTCAGCCTAGGCAACCAGCAGCTGTAGATAACTCAATTACTCTCTGTTTTTCAAAGTTAATACTTTTGCCACCATCAAATAAGGTCATTTTAACAAGACAATCATCAGAGCCTGGTCTCTGTGCGGCACTAAATTTATAATCAAATCTAATCAACAATTGTTTAAAAAAAAAAAGAGGGGTGAACAGCCATATTTTCTGACAGTACCAAGAGTAAGCCCAACAAAAGACAAATAGTCAACTGGACAAATAAATAAGCAACAGAAACAGTGTAAGAAGAATATTCCCCAACTTTTAAAGTTTAAATACAAAAAACACAGACTGGAAGAATGAAAATACCAGGAAAACTCTGGCAAAAATCTAGAACCTATCCAGAGAAATTCAGATTTCTTGAAAAGGTGGCACTCTTGCCACCGGGAACAGCTTTAAGAAAAAGCTACGTTGTTTTTCTTTTTTTAATTTTAAAGAAGTTCATTTCTGGAATTACCATTAGGAAGAAGAGAAGAACAGCAGTTAGGCCGCCCATTTACAATTTATGAATAAACGATGACCTTAAAAACAATAGCTTTAAAAGGTAAACAGTGCTAAGAGAGTAATAATAGGACACAATCATTTTGAATGTCAAAGTTCAGTCTGTGCCATTTCCTCTTCAATAAAATATTGTTCCAGCAGAGAACAGGGAATAGGAATCACTTATAGGAACTGGATTATGTATTAGCTTTTATTACAATCAAAGGGTTATAACACAAAAAAACAAAGTATGTGGTGAAACAGAGATACAGAGGAAAAGTCTTTAATTTAACTGTCCAGAAAAATAATGTAGCAAACCTCAGCCAGCCTTCCAAGCAGAAGTAACACGAACTGATTCCAGTAAAGCCCTCCTTAACAGATGACACCACAGTCATGTTGTCATGTGCACTCCTTTCTGTTCAATTGTTAATCAAGCTGATCCAATTATCTTGTCCAATTCCGCACCTAAAGCAAAATTACTTCAACAACTTGAAAAATAATGAGGTCAATCAAAGTGTCACCATGTGGGCGATGATCAAGTCCAAAACACCAGCTTTCAACAGCGTTTAAAAAAAATAATAAAAAAACGGGAAACGTATGTAATTTCTGTTGTCTTGTCAGCTCCCCCACTGCGGGGGAGATGACAGTGACTGACAACCTTAAAAAACTATGTCTTTTTGTATTCTAGAGATAGAACAGCAGCAGAAAACACATTTGGTGTGAGAGAGTGGCAATCAGGGTTAATCAGATTGAGTCAGTGGAGTCCTAAATACTGGAAATGTTGACAAATAAGAAAGTAAAGATCACTGACTTGGATAAAACTCAACTTTAAGCTGTCAGGAATACTTTCTTCACAGCAAATAAAGTCAAGCTAAAATATGTATTTACTCCCTTACAGACCCTCTTCTGTTTTTGCTTCTTTTTTGTATTCCTTAATGTTTCAGATCACTGTACCAATGCTTTTATTAGACACATGTGAAGGAGCTTTGCCCCTTTTTTCTTGTAAAATTCTTTGATTTCAGCCACAATGGACCATTTTCAAGATTAAATGGCCTGTTTAAAAGGCCAATTATACTTGAATGCCAAAGCAGCTCCATCAGAGTTTAGTCCAGAATTCAAAGAAACTCCCAAATCATTATTTTGTAGTTTCTTTATTAGATGGACTTACTGGTGTGCTTTGGTTCACTGCCCTAAATGAAACATAACCAAAATGAGCTTGAGCTCAAGATCATAAACAGACACAGAGTAGATATCCTCCTTCGGTACAGAGCAAACTTCCTGGTTCCACCAATTTTAAGTTTTCCACCTCCTGAAGCAGAAAAGCAGTCTCATAACATCAAACTACCACCAAAGAGTTTGACTATATTTAATCAGGGAAGTTATATTTATGTGATTCCTTGATTCTGTAGTTGTTGCATTAATAATGCCTGTGGTTGTTGATGAAATCGAACCAAAAATATGTGGCAAATCAAAGTTAATTAGTTATTTATGAAGGGAGGCCATCATATTTGCACAAAGAGCCCTGCTGGTTTGGATATTTTTTTCTCCTTCAATGAATAAAATTTTTTATTTGTTAATTTTTGATTCTAGAATTTTGCTCGATAGTCTGAATCACTTAAACATAACTTTAAAAAGTCTAATTTAAATCAACAAGGGTGCAAATACTTTTACACAGCACTGCAGAATCACTGAACGCAGCGAATGAAGCCATCCATATCCAGAAGCAAACAGACAGCCAGCTTTTCAAGGAGTCATTTTAGGGCAGGCGTCAAACTGGTGTCGTCTTCCTGCAGCTGCATTACTCACCTCTCTCAGGACCGGCCCAGAGTGCCGAGACACGGCCAAACAGATAATGGTTAAGGCCAATAATGGCAAGCAAGAATCAATATAACAGTGCTTTACTGATGGCTCGGTGGGAGTCCCATGGAAATGCTAACCCCTCCACCATCCTGCAGCCATTCCTCTCACCACTGGAGCTTTCATTGAGCCGACTTGCTCATGTGATTCCTCGGATCGATAGAGAAAAAAGGAGATGACAGCAAAACATGATGGCTACCTCCTCCACCCTTTATCTCGAGGTGTTCATTGAGTTCTCTGAAAGGAGGATTGCAAAGGTTTGCCAAGGTCACAATGCGAGCTGCTCAGTAAGTTGACTGAGCGGTATCCAGCCTTTGTCCTCAAGCTGCTAAAATTGTGCAGCTGGAAGTAATAGAAGAGTAGAAACCGTTTTAAATTAAAGGAATGTTTGTTATGCATAAATGCATTCACATTATGCAACGAATAATTATATTACAATTCAAACACTGATGATTCTGACATGCAAAAAAAAAAAGTCAAATTTATTTCAGATGAATACTAAAAAGATTTTGATGATAGATTTTCATAATGGTTTTTAGGCACAGTTCTTCCACCGTACCGAGGAAAAGTCTGGCTTAAATTGCAAATGTTCTTTTTTTTTTTTTTACCACATTCTGTGACGTTACGATGATAACCTTCACTGCGTTTTATTGTAGTTTTCATGTGATGGACCAACTTATAACAACCCACAAGTATAAACCAAAACAAACAACTGACAAAATGTGGTGAGTATCTGCATCCAGCTCCCATTAGTGAATACTTTGTAAAACCAACTTTTGCCTTAATTGCAGCTTAATAACAATTACAGCTTCTAACGTGAGAAAATTACAGCAGCATCAATATTTTTGCAAGGAGCTCTCTCTCTGTGTGTGTGTGTGTGTGTGAACAGTATAGTTATGCTATCCACCTCATGCTGCAGATTAAGAAAACTACCGTCTCTAAACAAATACTTAGAGCATGGACGCTGCACTGCCTGCTAGATGGGAATTTAATTCTTCAGGATTAATTTATGTCTCTTCTTGACAAACTGAGGAAACCCATGATGCAATAATTCAACATTTCACACACTTTTAACTGCTGACGACAAACCCAAAAGAGCACGAGCTCCTTTGTTTTAAAAAGGGGAATGAGGCAATTAAAGAGTTCCCTCCAATGTGATCTAACACTTTAACCTTGAACATTTCCAGGGGTAGGAGGTCACTCCTCTGAAAAGTGCAGTGTACTCACATTGAATTTGATGATGTCATATATCAAGTAGCGAGGAACTGGCTGACCATTCACCTTGTCGATGATCATCTCCTGTGCAAATAAGGATAAAGGACAGAATCATGATTCAAATTCCTCAAAATAACATTTTATGATAGAGAGGAGTCTTCAAACTGCGAGCAATTTTATTGTCACAACACTGTAAAAGTCCTGTTGACTCAAGTTCTGCAGGATGAGACGCTGGAATCTGAGCGCTCCCCGGAGGACGGACATTCAGGGAAGAGGAGGCCTGCAGCAATGTCAAGGAAAGAGGGTAATGGGGGAGGTGTGTGTGTGTGTGTGTGCATCTATGGTTAAAGCTGTGAGGTAAGAGTCTGGTGAAGAAGACCATGACGCAGAAATAGACGGCTCATTTATTATACAAAGCTCTCAAGCTGAGGTCAGGTGCGGCTGTGCTGCAGGACACTCAGTCGAGATGAGTTTTGAGGAAAACGTTACACAACTGAGTGACAAAAACAAAACAAAAAAAAAACTGTCTTCACTGCTGAGCAAACGTAAGAGGAAGAAGGACTGCAGGCCTCAATCAAACAATACTCAATGCAGAGATTGAAATGATAAACAGCATTCCTGTACTTTAGATGAAGGGAAAAACTTATCATTAATTGTAAAGTTCAAAAGTTGGTGATATAAAAAGTTAGCAGTAAGTTTTAGTCAGAAGAAGCTAATAAAATCCAAGGCCATATGCTTAAAATTTTAAATCAGAAGTGGAGAAATTTTCTCTGAAAACAAAAAATGTCAACTGCTCAAAATGTGTCTTCTATTTTTTTATTTTTGTTTGAAAGGCTTCAGAAAGAAATCTATTATCTAGCTTCACTATGTTGGTGATCGGGATCAGAAAAATTAGTATACTGGTTAATATGTATAAAAACGCTCTGATAGTATAATGTCACATTTAAGCAATAATTTGAGATACTGTGGATGCACTTCAGTATTCTATAATCAGACCATTCAGATTCAGGAATTAACAGATCGACGGGCTTTCAGATCGGAACATAAAATGAAAGAAGAACTTTGGCTGCTTACTCCCAGCAAGTGATGAGCTGTTTCTTGATGTAGCGAATAAGAATTATTGTCTAAACGATGGTAAATAGGCATGTATTCATAAACTGATGGATGCATAATGAACATAGGCACAAAGTGACGGTTGGAAGCACAAATTGGTGGATGGATGGAAGGAAGCACGGACAGATGGGTGGGCGGAAACAGTCAGATGGAGGAATGGTTGAACAAAATGATGATGGATATACAAATTGGATCAACAAATCATAAATATTTTTATATTTATTATGCGTAGAAAGGAAAAGATGATAACTTGGAATATGAATATTTATCAATGTTAAATCTTCTTTTCTCTATACTTGTCCTTGGAAATCATCTAAACCAATTTCCTGATTTCTCCTGACTTTGTAAGACTGTGTAGGAACTGTGTGCAACTCAAGCACATATATTACAGGAGATTTGACCCAAACAGTGCAGACAGACATATTTCAATTTATTTCATTCGATTTCTGTGCAGTAGGTTGTCAAACCAACCTGCGATATTATTTAAAAAAAAAAGACAGAAAAATTGCAGAGCACCTGCTGTTCTGTCTACGTGAAGAAGAACACAACAGTGAGCCACACCAGTGCCTCATCTGCCTTCAGTGCACACCAACAGGCTGCAAAATTGCAGGGAAAACATTGGACAGTGATGACAGATGGTTAAATTTACTTGCCAAATGTCGTTTGGAAATGCGGGGCCCTTTTGAAATCTTTTTCCAGCTAACGTTTCTCTGCTGCAGGAGATTAGTCTGCTTTAGAGGAGCACAAAATGTTTCATTTCAGCATCCGACTAAGCTGCTGAAATTGACGCTGTTTTTGATCAGAGATGAAAGCAACTACGCATCTAAGGTAAGATGAGCAAGGCAATCAACTACAAGTAAAAAATATATATACGCATTGTAAATATTTACCAGAATTACAACACTATTTACTGTTACTCTCTTTGACTGCTGTAGCACTGGCTCAAAATATGCAACAATTCTCTGCAAAAGCCTAAACTTGCTAAATAGCTTTCAAATAATTTGATAAGTCTAAGTGAGAACAACATGTAAATTCTAGGTGGTGTATGTTTTATGAAGGCAGCTGAATATTTAATAAGGTTTGCCAAAACCAGACTGGTGGAGAGGAGAAATGAAGTAAGGAATCTGTCAGCCCCTGTGTAAAGGCTGAGGGGGAGAAATGATGCAACTGCAGAAGCTGCCATCACTGTGCATCTGGTGCACTGAACCACTGCAAAGACAGGCAGCAGCAAATGCAGGCAAGGAAATCCACCAGGAATTTAATCTACAAGGCGGCCTAATTCAAAATCTACACTAATAATAAAGTTAAGATCATCAAAAAGCAAGTAGAGATAAAGATCATCGTCATGAGCCACAACTGAAACTGCAGACAAAAGAAAAATCCGGTTTTCCCACAGCCCCTCATAAACAGCCGAGGACAGCCTCTACAAACCGAGAGCCAGAAGCATCAACACATGAATAAACAGGAGTCAAAACAAAGCTTGTGGCAACATAAAAACCATCCGTGCAGCTTCTTCAAATGAGCGGCAATATACACTGCAATTAGATGCCCCGCCTGAGTGTGGAAGCTAAAATTCACCACATTAGTCCGTAACTGTATAGCAAATAGGAGGCTGTTTTGCATAAAACAGTAAAACACAGGAGAAAAAAATTAAAGCAAAGCACAAAAAAAAGAAAGACAGAGAGTGTATCTCTCATCTTCTCATTCGTTCCACTAAACACAAACAAGTGCAGGTAGTTGTCATTGAATTTCTGATGACGAGTAACCAATTTTCTCCCTTTATTCACAGAGGAAGAATAAAATGACTCATAAGTGTGCACCTGCTGCTTTGGGAAGCTGCGTAACCTGCGCATCGCAAACATGTCGGTGGAAGGCTGGCCCTGATATTCCAGCAGGAGTGGAAGCCACAGAGGCTCCCAATGCACAACAGAGTGTTGCAACAAAACACACACACACACAGGAAACTGTGAAACAATTAATGAGCAATTTCTCCAGAACACGCGTGATCATGTTCCTGTCACCCTACTGCCTTTGCAGTGACACATGCTTCACATGCTTTCACCTAAGACTTGCAAAATGGAGACAATTTTCTGCAACACTGAGCACCGGGTGCATTCTTTACCAATGTGGAATGGACATGCAGGCTCGAGTCAGGAACTGGGAAAGTGAAAGACGACCCACAGAACATATAGCAATTTAAAAATCAAAATGAGCACACGAATATGTAAGGGGGGAAAAAAAAAAAAGCCTCCTCACCCCATCCAGTAGAGTTTTGGATAAATGAACGCGTAGATCCTTCCGGAACGGGAACTCGAGGTTTGCTATGTGGAAGACTGAGTTGTCCCTGTCGATCATGAAAACTTCATTTTTTCCGTTGATCAGCATCATGTACCTGTAAATAATGAGTTAGCACTGTTATATAGTTACAATTATGAGGGAACAATAAACTAATCGTATTTTGAAATGGATAACGTTACATTAGACAACCTAACAGGAGGATGTTTAGTTAGTTAAGCACAAAAAAACACATCTTCATTCTTCAAAAATTACATTAACAAGCTTTTTTATATATATAAAATGGCTAACCCTTTTGCACATATCCAAGACATTTTAAGAATCCATTTGAGTTGGGAAAAAAAACTATTTTTTTTATAAATCACTATTATTTTGATCAAAATTTAAATCATGAATATTCAACATAAAACACAGAGTTCAGAAACATGTTGTACTTCTATTACACAAAGAACAACTAAGGGTATGCTTAAAAAAACAATGTGTCCAGACAGACCACTTTTAATTACAAAATACCAACAAAGCAACCACTTTTGCTTTTATCTAGCTGAGCTGTGTGCAAAAACTGAGCAATTAGGAGCAGTATCTCAACAAAATGAATCCATCACACCACACCAACTTTTACAACCCACTTTCCACATAACCACCAGGAGGTTTATCCTAAAAAAATAGTCCTATCTTAGTCAAGAGTACTTATAGAAATATTTAATATCTTGAAAAGCAAAAATAAATTATTCTCATAAAAAAAAAAATGTCTTCAGCAAGTTGTGAGCATTGACAGAGGTCCAAATACAGCTAATCCCTGGCAGGACTTCCCAGGTACAATAAGAACTAATTAAAAATAACTAAATGACATCCAAAAAGTTTCTCCAGCACAGTCGACTGTGAGAAAACATACACAGGGAGCACTGAATAAAAACAATGTACTGTCAGAGTCTTTTACCTATGTAGACATTACATATCGCTGAGAAGTCTTTTACCCCTAACACATCTCTCTACTTTTGTTACACTCAAATATCTTAGATCATCAGCATTTTTAACAGCAAAGAGAATCTGAATGAATAGAAGTAGTAGTTTTCAAGGGGTGCCTCTCATTTCAGAGGATGAAAAGAAACTATCTGCACCAACATGGATCTACTTGAAAACGGTGTTACTTCCTTTGGTAAATGACAAAGTAAGCTCAGCTCAGTTCACAATCTACACCCAGACCTGACTATTGACAATCCACAGAGTTGAGAATCACTTCAATAGAACCTGTCTGAAAACGTTAAATTGGTTAAAAGCTCTCAAAAGCTAAGAAAGTCAAGAACAGATTAAAAACGTCAATCACCTTTCTCCGTCTGCAAAGGGCTCCAAACCTTCATGACTGCAGCGAAACACAGTGAGAGTCAGTATCTACTAATGTAGAAAAAAAAACAAGACCAACATCTAGAGCGCTGCAGATCTCACTTGCCTCTGTTATGATTTGTGTTTATTATTCACAGATTAGGCAAAAATGGCATCCAGATGAGAGGTCTGGGGTAAAACCACTGCTAACGAATGAGGAAAAAATGGTTTCCACTTAGATTTACCAAAAACCAACCAGAAAATACCCAAACTATTAGGGAAATATTCTGTGAACTGATGAGACAAAAGTAAACATTTATTTCAGGGTGTGTGTCCAGTTACACATAGCTCAAACTAACAGCATTTCACAAAAACATCACACAACAGTCAAACATGAGCTATGTTTTCATCCAATCTTCTTGCAAGTTTTGAGCAAACTTTTAAAATGTCGCAAAAAACAGAAATGCTAATTTGGCCCGTTTCCATCCACTGATTTGGAGCAAATCAACCATGCTGTGCAAAGTGTAATTTCATCAGATGTTGGCGCTAAGAATAGCTATTATAAACAATATCTGTGGCAAAAGCATTTTTGGGCTGTGTTTGTACGAAAATGAAAACATTTTTTTTTTTTTAAATTCTCTTTCAGTCCTTGGAGCTTTAAAATCGAACCGGTCCATGTTAAACTAAAATCAATTTTATTCCATATTTCCATCTTGTTTAAAATAAATGAATTTAGAATAGAGGAAAATGAAGTGAGGAAGAAAGGCTATTACTGGAAAATTACTTTTTCACCCGAGTAAGCCCCTCTGAGAGACTCAGCAACATAAGATCGGTGACTGTTAAAAATATCTCCAGAAATAAACCATCTTACCAGTGTGGGGTCACGGTAAGAACACTCGAATAGTGTTAATTTGATTCTAGTCTTCCTGGATCCATGCTGCCAGTGCATGAAGCATCGAGACCCTTTACACTTTCATATTTGATATTTTTCTGCATGGTTCTTTCAGTACAATATGAGGCTGTCATATGAAGGAAAAGTTGTAAATAACCTGAGTGTACACTTTAAGTGTGAACTGATTTTCTACTCTAAGTTTTTATCTTCAACTGGGAAAGTAATCAGGTAAAATCTCTTATTACATAGAGCCGATCTGTTGAGTAAATACCCCATCTGGACAATTGTCCTCTAAGTTACATAAAACCGAAATATAATTTCAAGGACATCAAATTAAATTAACTGATGTTACGGTACAGCGATTAATCAATATTATTTCAGTTTTTATAGAGGTTTTATTTTGTTTACGTAATCATCATTGAGCCATTTGTCTAAATCCAAACAGCTAACACCGAAGATAAAACACATGATCAGTGAAAACCTGACAGGCTTTAGTGAAATCCAGAGAGACCGGAGTGTAATCAAACTGTTCATCCAACTGTTTATTACCTCAACAACTGATTACTAAGTCAGGAAACACTGTACACAATAGATGCGAGTAAAATCCTTGATCCTTCCTTCTGTTCATTCACAGAGAGGAGCAGAAAGGCTGAAACGCTCTTAAAAAGTCAGCCCTGCTGCCTTTGTTTTCACTAAAAAACCGCCTTCAATAAATTTATAAACTTTAAAGACTCAGAGGTCTTTAACCAGAAGAATTGGTTTTAATATATTTTTTTATTGTTTTATCTCGTATTGTGAATACAGCTGTAATATATTATTTGTAACAATGTTCTTGAGTAACCACTGAACTGCACACGACGGACCAAAATCACTGCAGTTTTATCTTCATAACATTCCACCACAGGATGGCTAACAATCTGAATGCAGCTGACTAAAATAGATCAAGTTAAATGAAACGCAGAAAACAAGTAGTGGAAGTTGAGTTTAGTCAGGGTCAACACCAATCTTTTAAAAATGCTTTGAATGAGATCCAGATCAGGTGCTTGAGTGATCAGGAAATCAATATTGTAAAACGTACGTTAACTAGACACAATACTTGAGAATCCGCTATGTCCATTGGACAATATGGTGGCCAATCACAAAAGCTCATTTAGTGTTGATTCAACTGTGTTAGAGTGAAGAATGGCACAGAAATTAATTCCTAAATGTGACAACCAAACTCTACAACTCTTGCTTTAACCACAGTCGTAAAAACGTTACATTAAATCCTAAATGGACTAAATTTGTACATTGCCTTTCTAGTCATGTAACTGTAGGTACCTGGAATCAAACTGATAACTTTCAGAGTGCAACTACGACAGCTAGTGCAATTTATCTGTATAGTATTGTTCATCGTGAGGTAGGGATACAAAGTAGTTACACTAAAGAGCTTGTACCATCATATTTCTCTCCAGAATTAAAAGTGCATTTAGATTTAAATTCACTTATGAGAAGACATTGAACATTATGCTAATTATCAACATTACATCATTGAGTGGCCTGTTTACTTAGTCCGATGCAGAAACGTCTTTGAGATGCTGCAAGTAGCTATTTATTTGTTCATTAAGTGACATGGAGTGGGTTACATTTAACTGTATTCAAGAGTAAAGAAGATGTGCTTTTTTTAAAGCCATCTTTAAACATGTAATTAAGAGGAGCTGGACACTGTCCCTAATTTGCTTTTATGAAAACATTGCGAACGTGTGTGTACTAATTAGAGTTCTGGTTGCTACAAATCACACATAGTGGTGTTTGAACTACTTTTGCCAGATTGCATTTTATTTCCAAATAAACTTATTTTTGTGCCTGGCTAGTATATTAAAAGATACTATAGGGGATTTTTTTTTGTAATCATACAAGAGAGAAATTTCAAGAGTGCAATTTATCTATAGTATTTGCAGAATAAATTAAGGTTCAATTTATATCTTTACATTTTTCTTGCTTATTATCCAAGACAAAAGCAGAACAAGCATTTTTCAGCTTAAGGCCAATTGTGATTACGCAAGGTTTTTCTATTCAATAAATGTCACAATAATGAGATTCTTTTAATAGCGCATTTTATTAATTACTTTCTTCAAAATTGGTCAAGTTTATTTGTACAGCACATTTCAGCAACAAGGTAGTTTAAAATACTTTACATGATAAAAACATAACACAGCAACCAATTATGAAACAAGCATTTCAAATCATCACGAATAAACATCATCAAATATATTTATAAATGTTACTATTGATCAAAAGCAACTCTAAGCAGTTGCTGTTTATAGTCAGCGTTTCGGCTGTTTTGCAGTTTTCTGGAAGTCTGTTCCAGATTAGTGGAGCATAAAAGCTGAATGCTGCTTTCCGTGTTTACAGTTTGACCTCACTGGAGGAACCACTATTGATGTTTCATAGGTTTATGCTTCTTTATCACACTGAAACAAAACTATTTTGTGGCTTTAACAAATGAGAGCATTTATATAAGTAGAAAATGTAAAGCAACATTTAATGGTGTGCAAACTGGCAGCTCTGACTCAGTAAAAAAATAAAAAAAGTACACCCTTTAAGAAAACACAGGCAGATGACAGAGATGGACAGATTAACGAGTTCCCCACAGACGCAGCGTTGCATTTCTCATACCTGCTGTGACTCTCCACAATTGTAGCAAAGGGATTAGGTGTAATGGATGTGTGACCAGTACCAGCTGGTTGAGAAACGGAAAACTCAAAAAGATGCCAAATATAAGTGCAATAGGGAAGAGATTCTCAAACATAAAGGCTTTATGCTGTGTTTTAATATGGGAATATTGTCTCAATTAATCTATTGCTTTACAATTAACAAAATACAATATTTTTAAAAAAATC